CTTCTTCTTCTTGAAGGTCATCTTGTCCTTCTTCTTTCTTTTTCTTCTTGTCCTTCTTCTTGTTCTTCTTGTTGTCATCACTATTATCTTTATTGTATGGGCATTGAGCAACAAGATAATCTTTGCTTCCATAATTGAAGCACCTTCTTGATTCTTTCTTGTTCTTGGATGAAGACTTCTTTCTTCTAGCATGGTAGCCATTCTTCTTCATCATGAACTTGCCAAATCTATTGACAAAAGAGTCATCTTCTCATCATCCATCTCATCAAAGCTCAAGTCTTTATCTTCACTTGATGATTCTTGCTTTGCCTTGCCCTTGGATGATGTGGCCTTAAACGCCACACTCTTCTTCTTATCATCTTTATTCTCCCTCTTTTCTTCTTTCTCATCATCATCTCTATATGTATCATATGGTCATTATATCTCCCAACACTTGGTTTGGTGTCATGGTGTCCAAACCACTCCTCACTAGAATAGTGACCAACGTGCCAAATCTTGAGGGTAAGCATCTCAAGAACTTATAGGAGAAGTCCTTGTCCTCCACCTTCTCACCAAGTGTTTTGAGATCATTGACAAGCACTTATAACCTATGGAACATCTCCGTCACACTTTCATCCTCCTTCATCTTGAAACTAACAAATTTCTCCTTGAGGATATATATGCCTTGGCACCTTTCATGGCTTGAGTGCCCTCAAATGATTCCTCAACTTCTTCCATGCTTCATGAGCCATCTCAATGTTCTTGATTTGCTCAAATATTCTCTCATCAATGGCATCATGAATGGCACTAAGAGCAATATCATTATTTTGGAGAAGCAATTCTTCAGCGGCGATGGGATTCTCCGGGTCTTCTATCTCAATCTTGGTCTCCACCACTTTTCAAACCTTCCTATTGATTGAATTGATATATGTTGTCATCTTAGCCTTCCAATAGGGATAGTTTGAGCCATCAAATTAGGGTGGCTTCTTGGTGTTGTTGATTTGAGCCATTTTGACACCAAAGGTTGTTAAACCTCAAATCACGATGACCACGGCTCCGATACCACTTAAAAGGTCCTAATGGCTAGAGGGGGATGAATAGCCTATTAAAATTTCTACAACAATACTTAGCAAACCGGTTAGACAAATATAAGGTGAAGCGAGTGTTGACGCTAGCCTACTAAAAAGCAAGCCACCTACCACAATTCTAGTTTCTATAGTCTCTATCCACACAATAGCTATGTTACTACACTAAGTTAGTGTGCTCTCAAAGGCTAACTAAAGAGACACACTAACCAAACCAACAAGCTCTCACGACTAGCTACACTAAAGAGCTTGACAACTAGTTTGCGGTAATATAAAGAGAGAGAGCAAGATGGTTATACCACCGAGTCGAGGAATGAACCAATCAATCACAAGAATGAATACCAATGAAGACCAAACACCTCGGAATCAAATGATGACTCAATGAGTTTTTACCAAGATTCACTTGCTTGTCGACAAGCTAGTCCTCGTTGTGGCGATTCACTCACTTAGAGATTCATGCGCTAATTGGCATCAAACGTCAAACCCTCAATAGGGTGCCGCACAACCAACACAAGATAATGATCATATAAGCCACGAGCAATTTACTAGGGTACCTTTTGACTCTCCGCCGAGGAAAGGTCAAGAACCCCTCACAATCACCACGATCGGAGCCGGAGATAATCACCAACCTCCGCTTGACGATCCTCATTGCTCCAAGCCATCTAGGTGGTGGCAACCACCAAGAGTAACAAGCGAATCCCACAGCAAAACAAGAACACCAAGTGCCTCTAGATGCAAACACTCAAGCAATGCACTTGGATTCTCTCCCAATCTCACAAAGATGATGAATCAATGATGGAGATGAGTGGGAGGGCTTTGGCTAAGCTCACAAGGTTGTTATGTCAAAGCAAATGGCCAAGAGAGTGAGCAAGAGCCGGCCATGGGGCTTAAATAGAGAGCCCCCACTAATAGAGCCGTTGGCTCCTCTATCCAGTGAAACACGGGCTGACCGGATGCACCAATCAGGTTGACCGGACACAGACCCTAGCGTCCGATCGTCCGATGCTCGCCACGTGTCATCAGCCACAAATGCTGAACGCCTGATCTTAACGGCTAGTCTGCCTCGCGCCATGTGTTAAGTTGCGACCGGACGCACTGCTCAAAGTGACCGAACGCTCCATCACTAGAGTCCGGTCGTTTCCAGTAAGGTTCTAGAACTAGTTTTTCTTGACTAGACGTGTCCGATCATAGGCGACCGGACATGGACTAGAGTCCAATTGTTTCTGGCCTATTCAGATGCTTTTGTCAGCGTATGTCATCACCTGACCGAACGCACCCCCAGCGCGTCCGTCCTATTTCTTCTTAGCGTCCGATCAAAGGACCGAGGGTGGCCTTCACTACGCACCACTGACCGGACGCAGGGTCAGAGTCCGGTCACTGCCCAAGGCAGAGTCCGGTCAATACGAAATAACTCCTTTTGACCCCAAACTTCACCACCCTTGATCAAATGTGCCAACCACCAAGTGTATCACCTTATGCACGTGTGTTAGCATATTTTCACAAATATTTTCAATGGTGTTAGCTTTCCACTAGATTCTAAATGCATATGCAATGAGTTAGAGCATCTAGTGGCACTTTGATAACCGTTTTTCGATACGAGTTTCACCCCTCTTAATAGTACAACTATCGATCCTAAATGTGATCACACTTGCTAAGTGTCTTGATCACTAAACCGAAAAGCTTCTATCAATTTCACCTTTGCCTTGAGCTTTTTATTTTTCTCTTTCTTCTTTTCCAAGTCCAAGCACTTGATCATCATCATGGCATCACCATCATTATGTCATGATCTTCATTTGCTTGGAATGTGCCACCTATCTCATAATCACTTTGATAAACTAGGTTAGGACATGGGGTTTCATCAATTCACTAAAACCAAACTAGAGCTTTCAGCGTCGCGCATGGCAACAGGGAATGGGAGGCAAGCCCACATGTGCAACACGATGGGGAGAGGGTCACAGCTACACAACAAAGTGGAGGGCGGGCAGGCAAAGCAGCTAAGGAGCGGCGTGATGGCAGCGGCCAGCGGCACCATGGCACCGTGGCCGACCGGCGACCGAAGAGGGTGTTGTGGCTAGAGCGGCCAAGGCACAACCGAGCCACGGCCAGGCCGAGCCGGCCTCAGCCGGCCAACGCGCGGTAGTGCGCGTGCATGTGGTGCACCCAAGCACGGTGACACCGAGTTCCCGCACGAGGTGACCGCGCACACAGGGACAGCCAGCCCAAGACATGTGACGTGCATGAATTTTAAAGCGTGTGTAGCAACTAATCCATGCGAGTTGAGACTAAACCACCTTTGCTACATCACGGAGAACACATTAGGCTATCGAAAAGAGATTACATGTGATACCATTTTCTAACTAATTTTCTCATAATAAATCTCCAAACATAGCCTTGCCATTATGTTTTTCAGACTTAGGAAATTGACTAAGTCTTGGTTTATGTTTGTTTCAAATTCGATTTTCAAGCTATTAGAAATATTAGCTAGTGTTATTATCTTGTTAAAACAAAAGATGCACTATCTTCTACAAAGTGTGTACTTCAAACCTTATTAAGGTGTCACATATATGTTCTATAGTATTTTTGCTTAATAAAAATTTGTTTTAGACCATACTTGATATACATGAGCTATTGCATCAACATTGATTTAACATTTTTATTGATTATTTTAGGCTACAAGAAATTCATCAACAACTTCTATCACATGCATTATTACACAAACACGATCCTCATGACATGATTTAGTAGTTGGTTTAGGGCGTAATACCGAGGGTGTTACAGAAGTAGGGCTACAACAACCTTAGTTCTGGTGGAGAAGCCGATAGTTGAAATGGTAGAAGAGCCCTCCGCGAGCTACCCGTTAACAGTTGGTGCCACCGACGAGACCTCCGCAAGCACCCCTCCCGCTGTCGGTACTGATGAGCCCTCGACCTCCGGTGGCAGCGCATCTTCGCCCTCCGACTTCGACGATAAGGACGACCATATGCTCTCGAATTGCTTCAAAGAGAAATAATTGCATAGCTCTTCGGATGTAAGACTGCATTGCGTGCCGCGCCCACAAAGTCAACGGCGACATTCTTGGAATTCGAAATAGAAATCGGGTTCAAAGGCAAACGTGTGTTCGACGGTTGGTTTTATTGCCCCGGGCCCACGAGGATATCTCACCTCTAGCTCCAACCCTCGACCCCTTGTAACCGACATACTGGTACAACACATCTCTTTTTTTTTATATATAAATATACATTAAATTAGTATTTCTATATATTGGAAATAAACTATATTTTTGTAAGAAAAAAGTAAATTATATTGGCTAAATATACACTTTAGTACTATTTTCGTTTAACCTCAACACAGAAATGCTAGATAACTTATTAGTGACTATGGAAGCCGTTAATGTGTGTTCTATGTCATAAAACCTGAATCACGCGCTGAGTGGAATGTAGATAACTTTAGATATTCAGAAACTTAGATAGTTTGAGCAGTCATGTCTTACGGTAACAACATGTCTTACTGATAACAGCGGAGAGTATATTGAAATTGTATTGCCGTTTGTAGAGATATCAGCATCTACATTAGTCACAACAATTATGTTTTTAAGGCAATTTTGTTTATGAATTAATCACACACGGTACATTCATAGATACAAATGATACGATACGAGGAATCTATTCAGAGTATAGACAATATGACAAGGTTTAGCACAGAGCAAGTAAGGAGAAATGGTTTAATCATCATTCAGAAAAATAATAATAGCATCTCCTTGAGTAAGGAGGATAATGGCCTCTCTTCGAAGGAAACGACACCAGAACTGAACAATAAGATACCATCACTACACTACTATCATAATTCTGCTCATTTGGTAGTCTAGACTCTCTGCAAACTTTTCTCTTGACATCAATTTCTTGTAAAGTAAATTGACAACATGGGCAGATTGCTACTTCAGGACTGCTGCTTAGGCGATGGCTGCTCGGCATCTTCACATCCCTCTTCTTTACAGGCCTTTAGATAATAGAGTTGCCGCCTTAGATGCAATATCTGTCAGCACATAAATAGTCAATGGTTACTCTACCTGCTACAACACAAGCTCCAGGTTTTCACATTTATCAGAAGGAAATGAAAACACATGACACCTAAATTATTTCTGTCCAGCGAGACAAGACAATAAGCCTACAGAATGATGGATAAGGCATAAGAGATGTAGAAAGATTATTTTACAAAAATAACATTTCAGTGTGGAGGGAGATAGTGCTTCTAAAGGTTTTCGATTTGAATACAACTCATATGGAATAGCATCATATGGAATTGTGTTTCAAGTGTAATATGGTGTGAAGAGAATGTCGAGCTTTAGAAGAAACATACTATATCTATATGTATCACAATTCAACTAGCTACAGAGTTTCAACATCACAAATCTACCAAACTTCTGCAGGGTTCACATAAAAATAACTTCATGAATAAAAGCATGCTTGATTGTTATCTTTCTATGTTACAGTTTACCTTTGTGTCTATGTTATTTTGTTTGATGGAAGCGATTGGTTTGGGATTAGCTTTCATAACTAAAAGCATATGTATCCACTTGGCACAAAACTTGGTAGAGATTTAGATCTTGCTCCATACCAACAGGGGCTCTCTCCCAATGCAGCAATTATCTGCCTTACACCTAAAAAGTGTAAACTAAAACCTGCTCCCATCTCCAAAAGCACCATTGACTAATCGATCCCAACCGTCCACCCTCCTGACCCCACCCCTACTAGGCTAGGGTGGATGAGGGTGAATCAAAAACAGCCCTGCCCCATCTATAGACCTCTAAAGCTTGACATGACTTCCACAAGAGAAAATAGCTGTGCACCATATTTTCAGGAAAATACTATGCGAGGGAGAAAAGGTAGACAAATAGGCATGCTTTGATTTCAACAACAGACCTCTCGTTTCAGATCATCAGGTAGACTGTCTGTTGAAATAAGAGTCTGAAATTCAGCTTTCAGCTTCTCATCTGTGATGCCCAACCACGTGTTGGGATGTAAAGCCAGCAGAAGAACAGTTAGAACATCCACACTTGATGGATATTTGATGACATTGTTCTTCAAGTTTGAATTGCATGAACTGGCACCAGGTGAAGACATTGGTAAAAGCATATCAACACCTTGTTCACTGCCTTCAGATACCACGGAGCCTGAGATAACAGTCTTAAGCCCATCACCGTTCGCTTGTACACATTTCATACATGTTTCTTTGCAGCAGAAGGCATCTCTTGGCACAAGGTTTCCTGATAGCATTGCAGCTCCCTGACAGCAAACAACTGCTGCAATCCTAGTAAGGGAATCTTCTTCGCTCGGCGATGAGCAATTACAACATGGTTTATTAGCATACTGCTGATCATGGACTATGGCAAATAGCCTGGTATCACGAACTTGCTGTAGTACATTTTCCTGCAAGTGAACACAAGGTGTGTAACAGTGTGAGTGTGTTATATAAGGAGGAAAAGCCTAACCCAGCATCCGAAAATGAAACAGAAATCAGGAAATGTCACCTTCAAGAAAAGTCTTTCTTTCTCCTCTTTGCTTAAGCTTGGTCCACCCTCCTCTTTTCTCCTAACTTCTACAACCCATTTGATCAAAGATTCAGCATCAGCTGGAAGAGACTCAATTAAACGGGACAAAAGCGCTGGAACATTGTCTAGATTTTCTGCCTTCAAAAGATTTGGTAAATCTTCAACACAATACTTTGCCATGCTTTTCCAGTTTTCATCTCTGCAACTCTGGAGAAATGAAATTGCTGAGCAAAGAAAGCTACATCAAATGCCTCATTTATGCTTAATTGACCGAGCATTGGTATTTACCACTGTGTACAATGATGAAGGAGCTGCAGTCTGTCTTGATATAAGCATGAACCTATCAAACATGAGGATGCCAACATCTTAAAATGGCATGATTAAAAGTCAAGACAGACTACTGACCAATTTGATCAAACTGAAATTTTCTGAATGTATCAAGCCGAAACATCACTGAAAATTTCTGAATGCATAGGGAAGTGCATATAAACGATATGGCGTTAAGGTATACTGTATGTATTATGGACAACACAGTTTCTATACTTGCTGTTCGGTACAAAGGTACAGTTATCTTAATGTTGGCTTGACCCAAGAGAAAATGATCAAGAGTGAGTGAGAGGAAGATAGGCAAGAGTAGACACCCTCTGAGAAGTCCAGTTGAGTCATCAGTTGTATTCATGGCTTCCCAAAGAAGTTGCAATGGAACCCAATGTGGAGGATATTTGAAACGGGCGACATCCAAGATGAGCGCCATATCCTGCCCGGCATGGTAGCCACCAATTGGGGAGAAATGCCCAGTTCCAGTCTGCATCATCGCAAAAGGCGTGCATCAGTCTACACAGAGACAGTAGTTATCAAGTTATGCGCAATGGAGGATGACCAACTCATCAATCCAATCTAACCAAATGGGTACATGAAGATAGTAGTTATATGCAATGGAGGATGACGAACTAACCAATCCAATCTAACCAAATGGGTACATGAAGATAGTAGTTATATGCAATGGAGGATGACGAACTAACCAATCCAATCTAACCGAATGCGTACATGAAGATTAATTGGTGGTAGTACTGTAGTGCAAGTGATCAGGAGAGCGTGACTAGGGGAATTCGCCAGGGGAATGTGATATTTAGGGGGCCGTAACCTGTTGGAAAGCCTTCCTGTGGTAGGAAGCAATAAGATGGCAGTCCTGGGAGGAGACGCATCGGATGAGATGCCGCCGTAGGTCGTGGATGGTGACCCGGTTAGCGCGGAAGGATTCGACGTCGGCGCCGGAGCAGTGCGCGAGGCAGGCGACCTTGCCGAAGGTGATGCCCTCGGCCTTGACCTTGTCGAGGGGCTCGCAGCAGTCGAGCATGGACTCGTCGAACCACCGCCAGGGACCCTTCCAGCGGCGGCCCGGGTCGATGGCGAGCGCGTTGAGGACGACCGCGAGGGAAGCGAGGCCGCAGAAGGCCGGCTCCGACTGCGTCTGGAAGACGGAGACCAGGGGGAAGAAGCCCTCCATGGTGCCCGCCGCCAGGGCCTCGGCGAAGAGGCGCTTACCCTCCGGCGAAGCGAAGTCCACCGCCGGCGGCGATGGGAGGACCCGCCTGTACAGCGACGCCACGGCCGCCGCCATCCTGGTCCCCTGGACTGCTCGCTGCCTCGACTGCGCTGGTGGATTTCGTGGTGCTGATCTGATTCCTCCGCGTGAACACAGCGGCGATCGAGCCAGCCAAGGGCGCCTTCTTCCCTCTGCGAACTTTCCTTTCTTCCCTCTGCGAACTTTCCTTTCGAATCTCTGCAGACGACGGAGAAAATGTACGCGACAACGGGCTTCGCTATCACACGACTCTAACAGCCTGTCAAACGTCTGTTCTACAAAGGGCTACGTACGGGGAGCTGTGAAGAGCCGGAGTCATTTTTTACCTGAAGAAGAAGTAAAAAACGAGCTTTGCGTAACTCTTTGATGTGGGTTCACGTCATCTAGTAAATTTTAAAAACCATTTTTTATTTTCATTTAATTTTAAAAAAAATAACATTTTGAATGATTAATATATTTTAGAAAAATCATGCTTGACTTAAAAAATAGAGCCCGAATCCAGGAAAAAAGTTGCTGAATTTTTCCGAGATGATTTCCGAGCCATTTTCGGAGTAAAAAACGAGCTTTGAGCCTCCTTGTCGTGGGTTCACGCTGTCTAGTGCGAATGAGCTGCTTTGCCAAATAGACCCTAAACATCGACTTAGCACTTTGTTATACATGTCATTTGGTCTTTTTAATCACTTTTTTCAACTAAAATACATGTATTTTGTCATGATGTGACCGTATTGCCCTCAGGGCTTCAATTGACGTGGGATAGGGCTGCTGGCCGCTCGCCTGGCCTGCCTGGCTGGCCGCGGTCTGGGCTGGCCGGTCGCGCCTAGGTCATTGCAGCTAGATGAATTCAGTTCAGACGAAATCACATCAGAAATCTATCGATAAATAAACAACTAATGTCTACGTCCAATCCAAATCTTTTATTCAGGTTCATTGATTTGATCTATGTACCTCACCTGCACGTAGCAACGACAAACCAAAAAGAAATTGAAACGATTAGCAACGATGACAGCTCACTACTGGTAATCATTGGACAGGATTAGCAACATGATTAGCATTGATCGTGAAGATTAGTGATGCTACTGGCTTAATTTAGTTAGTATATACGTTTAAGAGGATCTTGGAGCGCGGCTTGGTGGGGCTGCCGGGGCTCAAGGGCTTGTCGGTGCAGTACACCCACATCCGCCGCACGCCGTCGCGGAACTCGTACCGCTACTCCGGCGGCAGGTCATACGAGTGGTGTAGCTTGAACCGATCCTCAGTGAGGTTGACAGCAATGAAGCCCAGGGTCGGGTCAACGCCGGCGGAGCACTGACCGCACCACGAGACCAAGACGATGAACAGGAGCAGTAGAGGCCATAGCAGGGAGGAAGCAGGAGCCATTTGCTCGATCGTGTGGATGGGCTTTCTTCTCGAGTTCACTTCACTGACACAACCCAGGCGCGGCCGGCCAGCCAACCCAGACCGCGGCCAGCCAGGCAGGCCAGGCGAGCGGCCAGCAGCCCCATCCCACGTCAATTGAAGCCCTAAGGGCAATACGGTCACATCATGACAAAATACATGTATTTTAGTTGAGAAAAGTGATTAAAAAGACCAAATGTCATATATAACAAAGTACCAACGTTTCAATGATCGTTTTAATGAAATCGATATTTAAAGTCCTATAACAAAACGCATTGTTTCGTGTCTATAATTACAATTTTCTCACAGACGACGACGGCCACGAACATCTTCTCGAAAAAGACGACGACGGCCACGATGAACGAAGCCCAAAGTCCACTGCTGCTGAGCCCGGAGTCAAACAATGCTGAACCCCCCCTTAAAAAAATACTTTATTCTTTTTAAAAAAACGCTGCTGAACTGTGACAGATAAATAGATAATCCATTTGTTTTGAAAATTTTCCAAAAAAAAAAAGTTCACATGATTTTTTTCAAAACTTAAACGAAAATTTATAATTCTCTATTACTATTGACCATGATGTTGGAGTGGATCTGAATTTTGACAGCATTGAATCAGTCAAAAAAAATTACCATTTCTCCTATATTTTAGATCCTTGATTTTTATTGTTGTGTAGACAACATGTAATTTTATCATTGTTTGGCTATAAAAATAATAATAAATTGTTTCTTGTAAGGTTTTTTTTTAATTGTACTAACCAGTGGTACAAGATTGTTGCCTGGAAATTCAGAATATAGCAACTCCCTTTGTCTACACCCATGGATGCTCAGAAACTGAAGGCTTTGCACACTGACGATAAGTGAGTGGCAACTGGAAACGCCAGCAATTTTTTTTTTTATTTCTATACAGTCACACGAGTTTGGAATTACAGGTATTTATACTAGTCACTGTATTTCCCCTCCTTGGTAAAGATCAGCATGTACATGAGTTACATCGATCACATTTTTCACAACATTTCTCTGCATCAACCATCAGCGTGTTCGTTTCGGCTGAAACGATCGTGGATTATTACTGCTGGCTAGTTTGATGTGAGAGAAAAATATCATTCTGACTTATAATCCACGATCGTTTACGACCAAGCAAACAGGCTGCATGACCACTTACGGTCAGTAGAAATGTTGATAGCATCAACAGCAGGAGCCTCCTATACAATATGTGATCTTGTTAGAGAGGGGCGTTGGAACATGTTGGTACAGTATCAGTATATACAGCGTTCTCCACTAAGTTGACTTCACCGACAGCAACTCCAGCTCCGCCCACCAGAGCGGCGACAGCCGCGGCGCTGCTGCCTCCGGCGAGATGCCGAGAGGTGGTTGCAGTTTTCCCACGACGTCTCTTATCGATGGCCGCCGCGTCGGGTCGGCGTCGATGCACTCTTGGATCACCTCGCAGACGGCCTCCAGCTCGTTATCCTTGTGCTCCTTCAGCGACGCGTCCACCAGCTTGCTGTAGTTCTTGTCTTTCAGATACTCAGAAGCCTGTGGCGACGAGAAAGAACTTTAGAAGTGCAGCCCTACATAATTTGAAGAGCTGAGATTGGAAAATTCATACCCAGCTGCATATGGGTTTATGATCATCTGGATCAGGAACCCTCCCGGATATGATCTCAATCATAAGCGCGCCCAAGCAGTAGACGTTGCTTGGGAGATCTGGAGGAGCTTCAGAACGGCTGCTGCCGTCCTCCTTTCCAGCCTTTGCTTTGGCAGCAAGTTCGTTCCATACACCAACATCTGCAATCTGCACCAGCAGAACACATTACACTATATTAGCTCAAGAAAATAGCCATCCACAGGTTAATTGAGCAAAATATCCGTGCCAGTTCCTTCACTGGAATTTATATTTGTTACTGAAAGTAGCATAGCTAGCTGAAGCTTGTACCTTGGCTGCATAATCATCTGAAATGAAGGTTGTGTCAGACCGCACGTCGTGTATCGCGACAGGTGGGTTGAGCTCATGGTGCATGTATTGAAGGCAGTATGCGATGCCCATGATGACTCTCATCCTCGCAGCCCAGTCCAGATGCTCAAATTCTTTGACTGCAAAAAAAAAAAAAAAGTGCACTCAAGTTGCAGGGAACACATATGCGTATGAATTAGGAGGTTATGCGCAAGTAAAATCACTTGCCGTGAAGATGCTGTGAGAGACTGCCATGTGGAGCGAACTCAAACACCATCATTCTCGTGAAAGGCTCATTTTCTAGGCAATAGCCAAGGAGATTGATAAAGTTCTTGTGGTTGACCCTTGACAGTGTATCTATCTACATGGAGGGGAGGATTATCGACGAAGAATTAGTATTGAAAGATCTTCTATTCTCAGGTAGTTTGTGTAGAGAACAAGATGTTGCTAGTCATAAACCTTTTTCTTGAAACATGTTTCCGCACTCCTGGACCAGTCTTTGCTCGATGATATGACAGTGGAGACAACACCAATCTCAACTCCGCCTGATAATATGCCCTTGAATACAGTACAGGTAGGAAAAGTATTGATGATGTTGCTAAAATCCTCACAAGCAGCTTCAAGCTCAAGTCTGTTCAGTTTTTGGGCACCTGAATACGAGAAACAGAAATGCATTGAAGCACCTGGATGCTCAGACGTAATTATGAGTGGTAAGGAACTATGGATATAAAAGTACAACTACAAGCACAAATAGAACTCCTGAACTGGCCATATCTTAACCCACCAAGAAAATCTGGGAGTCTCAACGACCAAAGCCTCACAAAAGTTGCACAGGCTAGTGATCTTTGTATAATTGCCAATGCAGAATGTCACTTTTCAAACTTTGCATGTATTCCCTTCCCAAGTGTAAAATTAAATAGAACAATAACAATGTCTCACCTGTTACAAGGGCCTTCTGAATAGGGCCACTTAGCCCTGTTTTCCAAGGGGCTACTGATGCACGCCCTCGCTTCCGCAAAACCAAAACTATCAAAACTATCAGACCAATGAGCAATATTACAGCTGGAATTGTGATAATATATGCCCACTTGCTATACTTTGTACCAGACATCTCTACATCAGTGGACTGGGCCACTTCTGTAGACAGCTGCTGAACTGTGGTAGCATCAATATCTTCGGGAAGCAAAGGTGTCAGAGCATCGCCATATATGCCCGGAAATGCAGGGAATGAGCCACTTCCTAGAGAAATCACATCAACAGGTCTCTGAATTTCTTTTGGATTTTCTGGATCAGAAGATTTAGCATCATTTCCCAAAAGAGCAGGCAGGTTGTCAGTTTCACTAAGAAGCCTGCGGCGCATGGCACATGCAAATGACTGCAAATTCTTTATGACGTGTGCCTCACTGAAATCTGAAAGATGTACAAGGATACAAATGTTAAATGCAGTGTATATAACATAAAAGCACAAGGGCTGATTTTGCAGCATGAAAAATGCAAAATTACTTGGTACATTGGTGTTATATTTCTCTCGGAGACCACTGAGAGATATCCAATCCTTAAAGTCCGACTTGTACAGCAAAGACCTTTAAAGAGTTGAAATATTTAGAAACAAAGACTAGAAATGTTGGAAGCTAATATGGAACACAGACAGAAGTGGCACCAAGTATATTCCCTTACCAGCACCCTA